ATACTTGCAATGTGCCTATTGAAATGCATGCTTCGCCCTTATTTCAAAATAATTTCATAATGTTTCAGGGTCATGTCTGAACTAAGTCACCATTGATTCAGACTTGATTGTGTAGAAGTATGAAAATGAAATGACCATCTTCATTAACAAGTGGAAACTAAAAGCTCCCCGTCTCTATAGTTCTTTTATGAATGCTGTTACAATCCACACACATTTACACTTTAAGTTCCAGGCAACTCCTGTGAACTCGTGGGAGATTGGCTTTAGATGTGGTTTCCTTTGAATAGCCAGTAACATTATGAATCGATCTGCATTAAGACTCTAGTTCACAGAAGCTCACTGTCTCACTACCAGAGAGAGCGTGGGATTTCAAAAGCAGCTGTTAGCTTAGGTATACCCGCAAGGCAGCAAAACGAAAAAAAAAAAAAGACAAACCAAACAAAAACAAAGTGAAACATGCTATTATATTCGCTTCCTTCCCAGGAATCTCCCACCACAAAATACAAGGCAAAACAAGGCTTTTCTGCCTGTGTTGTCTTATTGTCAGCGAGGGATTTGATCTCCCTGCTGTGCGTGACAGTTTGGAGCACAGGTCCTGGTAGCAACTGGCCACGTGTTATGTAATCCGCCACAGATGAAGAGATCCCCGTTCAGGCAATGGCTCACTGTGCCATTCATTAGACACTGGAAATACTGAGGGGCAAAGCTATAGCTTTCACTATTAGTCTGCATTAGTGATATCTCACTTTATGTTGTGTTTATGTACTGATGTTTTCCACACTGTCTGTTATCATAGAGATCCTGTCATTCATTGCAGTTGTGACTTTTGATTTTGATTTTTGTTGTTTTGCTGCAGTTGATTATTTTCAGAACTTGAAGGTGTGATTGCTTTTTAGTTGTTTCGTATGTGAACTTGGCTTTTTATAATCATTGCATCTATGATTTTTTTTTTAGTCTAAATGATTGTAATATGGAGCTAAACATGGCTAACTATCAATATAGCTGTTTTTGCTTTTGGATCTTTAACTAGTAGGCCTGCATGGTATACTGCTAAAATACAACAAATTACTTGTTGAACTAAAACAATTGAACATCTGTCTGAACCAACCTGAGTCTGGAAGAGTAGTAACTGAGTCTGTCCTGAACCTGACATTCTGTTTTTGTATTTTCCAACCAAACCATCCATGACACAGTTAATGTAAGTTGAAGAAAAGAACAGCTGAAATAGCCTTTGTGTTCTGTTCATGCTTTGTCATGTAAATAACAAACCTCAGCACTGAACAAGAAGCAGCCCAACACAGACATCATTTTTATTTATTTTTACACTATATTTTTACTAAAAAGAACATGAAGCACAACATCAAGGCGGCCAAACCTGAAAATCATTTGTATATAATATAATATTTCTCCGAACCCGGCCCGGTCAGTTGGGCTCATGTCAAATATACACGGAAAAGAAAAGATACATTTTTAAGTGCAGTTTTCTGCTGATACTTTCTTTCAGCTAACTAAAAAAAAATCAGTAAGTAGAGTTACACATCACAAAATGTCTTTTGCAATGTGAATATGTCATAAGTTGACATCGCAATAACAGTTAAAAAATAATATATGTAGTCCTAATCACTAGAGAGTACTACCCTCAGGAGAGCAGTTTCACCCCTGATGAAAATGAGGTCAAATTCACCCACATTAACAGCAACCTACTGACACTGCCTGCTGACCTGTGATGTCACATCCTTCCTATTAAGTTTACTTGACCAATCCTTAGCTTTAGCAGCTGAGGACGTGGAGTTATGGGGCTGCACAGTAAATCCATTGCAGTTTATGTAACTAGCACCAGCCTTTTTTAAGAACTGGGGAAACAGTAGGCTCTGTTGCTGTGTTACGTGGCTACAAGAGGGCAGAGGCAGAGAGAGATTCTGGCTGCAGCACGCAGGTATTTATGGTCACAAGCCGCCACTCATATCGTAAGCTGCAAATGGCTTAAGCTCTTTGGCCGTGGGTTGACATGATATACAAGCCTTTTCAGGGATTAGGGCCCTGTCTTGGGGGCATCACCAGTAACTAGTAACTTATGACCTTTAACCCCTAAGTGACACAGCTAGAGATAGTGCTGGTGGAGACTAACATGATAAACCAGTCTCTGCCATTATCTTTAGTTTTGCCTGCAGCTCTGAGGACATAATCGTTTTTCTCCCAGAGTGATTTCTGAAATACTAGCCAGCTGAGAATAAGAGTTCCAGTTGTTTGACTTCCCATTGCCAGGCAGCCCGACGTGATGGCAGTGAATTACACTCTAGTACACACTCTCTCTTCTCCTTCCCTCACAGTCACACTCTGTTCCTCCGTCACTCACTCTTATGCTTTTCGGGGGCTCCTGTAGTTATCAGAGTGCTCCACAGCAGAGCACGTCATGCACCCAGAGATTAGGACAATATGTCACGCAGACGTCTCACATGTCTGCCTATCAGTAGCCGCCAACCCAGTAGCATGTGGTCACACGGTGCAGAATGTTGCTGTGAAAAGGACAAAACTAGGACTCAAAGTGCTGAAGAGGATGACAGCATGGCAGACTCCTCCTCTGCCCCCTCCTCCTCATCATCATCATATGGGTGTGAAAAGGTGTTTGTGGTTTGACACTGACTCGGCAAAAAGTGGTGATTCAGCAGCCCGACAAGTGACGCCTCACACTGCACTCACTAATCGAAGTCTTAGTCCTAAGTACCATAATGGGATATTTCGGTCATAGCCAGAGTTAGATGGTGATATTCTGTGGAGCCTGTGCGGTCAGCGTGCCCCTCTGCTTCCTCTGTACATTCATCATGTCAGCTGGGTCAGAGAGAAGGGGAGAGGGGGAGGATGGGGAAGGACAGGAGTGGCTGTAAGTGGGGGTTATCTGAGGTTGTCTGCTGAGATGGTTGTTTTAATCTCGATGGGAGTCGAGGAGAAGATGGTGGTCTCCGGTGTCTGGAGTTTGTTAGCTCGACGCCTGACAGGCTAGACGGACATACGGGCCCACACATGACCAGTGTGTCTAGTTCTGTTCTGTCCTCGCAGCCCTCTATATCAGGCACTCCCTCGCCCCTGTCAGTGGAAAAAATGTTTGTGACTAAGGAAAAAGTAAGAGCGCACAAGATGTCCTTACTCATGCATGAGTGTTACACACATTTTACGGATTAAAAACGGGACGCTCAGCAGCAAGTACATGTTTGTTCTTGCACGTAACGTGAAATTATATTTGTGTCAGCTCTTCAGCTCCAGCTGCACAATAAATTATTTATTGGCCTATCAGCTGTTTAAACATTCCATGTACATGGCCTACTTAATTTGAAAATGGTTAGCAGTATGCACTTAATGCCTGGTTTCCTCATGATCAAGTATAATCGCAGTGTTGAAAAAAATTATCAGAATTGAAATTACTGAGACAGATATTCTGCCATGTTGTCTGCTCTGTAGTGTGTCCTAGACGTCTCCCAGGTGGAGCTGTGTGTATCCCCCTCAGGCTGCTGTAGAAAGAGTAGAAAGTGATTAATTGCCAGCTGATATCTGTGTGTGACTGAGAGTGTGCATGTGTGTGTCGGGGTTCAGATGAGGCAAACACAGATAGACGTTTCACAGCTAAAGAGCAAAGGTGGACTCTGCTCCCTCCTGTGGATAAAAGTGATTACACACACAGATGACCTGAGCCGGACTCATCATCGTTACCAAGTCCCAGGTTGAAAACGTGTGTCTTGTGACATCATCAAGGTATAGCACAACAGACGGAATCAGGACACCTCCTCTTTAACTCCCCAGACATGCAGCACTTGTCTCGTTCACGTAGTTTAAGCACCACACACTCACGCATACTGTACTGGTGTAATGGCTTGCTCTTCTCTCCTGTTCTTATCGGTAGCACTATCCACGCATAGCTGAACCTCGCCTCCTCACACACACACACACACACACACACACGCTGACATGCACACAGTCGGATATACTCTAGCCAATGCTCACATGTCTCCACCAGTCTTAAAGCAGCAGAGCATAGCAGAGAGCAGTCTGGCCCGGCGTAATCAGTGCAGTGAATTCCTGCTCCAGTCCCCTGGGCTTGTCTCCTCTGGGCTCCCCCCAGAGATAGTTCCTGAGGTCCTGGGTGGCTCCGCTGAGTCCACTGATTCTTAATGTCTCTCCACTTTTCCCTTCAGGCGAGCTGAAAGGGCAGCTCCCGCTAATGGAGCGCTGATTGTGTTATATCCACAATTATCACTCTTTACCTCTCAACTCGGAGCCATTAGCAGGATAGATAGTACCCCTGGCCTGTCTGCAGTCACAGAATAAGGGACTGTCAGAATGATGGAGCGTATGAGCCAAGCAGGGTCTAGGAAATGCCATTACACCTTTCCTCCCTGCCGCCCCCCCCCCCCCCCCCCCCCCCCCCCCCCCCCCCCCCCCCCCCCCCCCCCCCCCCCCCCTTTCAGCTAAGACTTGTTTGTAATGTAGGCGAGAAGGGTAACTAAAGCTGGGTGCAAGAAATACCTGCAGAGGATTATGTGGGAAGTGAATCATATGTAACCTGCAGTGTTGATGAACGATAAGCTGGGGATTTACAATACATGAGGCAGGTCTGCAGCTGTTGGATCCTCACAAAGAATACAATGTCTTCTAATGAGCCTGCATACCAAGACGACAGAATGCTGCTTGCATTAGGTGCTGAAGTGCAGGTCTTTTAGAAGAAAATCCACAGATGCTCAGCAAATACTATCAACGGATGTGAATACGTTGGGGTTTTTTTAGGGATTGGTGTAAAGTCATGTAAACATCTTAACGTCTGTGTTAACCTGTAATCTATGCATCAGAAAATAAAAGAAATCGACTGAATAACACAGGGGGCAGCTGGTTTAAACAGTGTTTAGAGTGAAATTTCCCTTAAGAAACCTCCTGACCATTGATATAAGGTTGCAATACAGATCACATTTTCGTTTTTCATTTTTCACACCGTTTCTGTCTTTTCTCCGCAGACGAGCTCACCTGCGGCTGTGTCTCGAGAGGTTGAAGGCCCTCATACCCCTTGGACCCGACTGCAACCGCCACACCACCCTGGGCCTGCTCAACAAAGCCAAAGCACACATAAAGGTACGGGATGATTAGCCCACAGAGAGCTGATGACACGTAAATATGAACCACAGGGCGAAAGAAGGAAGTGAAGCAAGCAAAACAGAGCAGTGTTCGAGTCTGAAACACATTTGACCCCAAAGAAATAAAAATATGAAGTATTCTGCAACCAAACAGAGCAAAGATGAAAACAAAACAACAATGTATTTATTGCTCAAATGAGATCAGAACGATAGGCTGATACAAATACACTAACATGCACTGCCATAACAATAAATAAATCCCTGCTTGGATTGTGTTTGTTTTGACCTTTGCTGCCAGATTCAACTTCCGTCTGCTGGGATCACTCTTGATACGTAATTTATTTGTGTTGCTGCAGGGGCAGGGAGGCCGTGGCACAAATGTATTTGAGGGGAACCTGACTACATTTGCTTAGTGACAGCAGTGTGCATTTTTATTGCAATTTTCAACGACTAGCTGTTTTAATTTCAAAACCCTTAAAGGGGCTGTATGTGAAATTCACAGCATATGAGATATCTGCACATGGTTCTCAACATGGATGAGGCTGAACTGGCGGCTTGCAGCTAACGGTGCTAACTCCATAAACAGAGCTAATCAACAACAACAGTGCTGACACAGCTAAAGGTGTTAATCAGGAAACCAGAGAGTGGGCACTACACTTACATGATGCCGTCCCGATATCAGCTGTAATTATTGTATGAGTGCAGTGCAAAGCGGTGGTGATGAGCTAGCAAGTAAGATACACACATGCATTAACAGTTAACCACAACAAACTACAGTAAAGGTCAGATTACAGCACACACACAGGTAGCGTGACTTCATTCTTTGCCCAGGACGTCATTAATGCACCATATCTTTACAGAGCAAACACTAGTTTGCTGCTATATTAATGCTCTGAATGTCACATACAGGACCTGTAACACTTGTATGGCTCACTTTAGTTTATGAATGTGTAAATGGTGTAAACAGAATAAATCCAATGAAGGGTAGACCTGAAGTACATCCATGAATAATTCCATCCAAATCTAGATGTGTAAATTTAATACATTTACCACAGCATTAAAAATTGGCTCATGCAAACAAACTTCAGCCAAAATGTAGCCAGCATTCAGCTGGTCACTGGCGATAACTTCCCTGCCAGAGCATATAACACGTTAAGACATCCTGCTTCACGATTTCCAGTCCACTTAAAAAAACAGGCATGTGACTGGCAGAGATTGAGCAGTCTGCATGGGAAAGGCCTGCAGTAGCGTGCACTCACGTAACTGAGAAGCATAAAGCTGATATTGTTGTCGTGGCCCCCCTCCCACTACTGCCGTCATCACTCTGCACTTCTGCTGCTGTCAACTTGAGTCTCTCCATCTCTTATTGATGGCCCATTGTTTTGGTCCGTCGCCGGGAGTCACGCTCGTCACTGTCGGTGACCGTGACATAAGGCTACAAGGTTAGAGCACAGCACATGGCTGTATCAGTCCCTGCCACGGCCCTCGCTTATATTGTCATGGCACAAGGCGGAAAGAGGCAGCGGGTAAAGGAGGTGATATGGTGTAAACAAGGCAGGTGAGGGAAATTATCGTGGGGTTTCAGAGCTGGCAGGAGAAGGGCCAAGGGACACGGCGAGTTTGGTGCTGAATGCTAAAACAGGTGCTGTTTGTTTTGTGCCGCTTGTATTCTGACAGCCTTTTATATGAAAGGAATTTCTTTATAGTCTAACAACATCCATTTCTTCTGTATCTAGGCACTGTTGCTTAAGCGGTTCTACCAGCTTTTCTTCTCACACTCTTATCTCCTCTATATTTCTTCAGTGTCACGATCGATGTGTGCAGCCATCTACTCTTCTTGTGTCTCACTTTTCTTTCTCAACATGATTTTATCTGGCTGTCCTTTACTCTTAAACACTTGAACTTTATCTATACATTCTCATGTCACCCTGATCCCCACACACAATTAACCTATTATCTGCCTCCTCCTTTTCTTTCTCCTGACCAGAAACTTGAAGAGGCAGACAGGAAGAGCCAATACCAGCTGGAGTCCCTGGAGCGGGAGCAGAGACACCTCCAGCGCCAACTGGAGCTGCTGAGGGGCGGCAGCAGTGCTGCAGCCCAGAGCAGCCCAGGGGAGGGGGAGAGGATACGCATGGATAGTGTGGGCTCCACCCTCTGCTCCGACCGCTCTGACTCTGACCAAGGTGCGTGAGGCCGCAGTCTTTAAACAGGATTTTAATTTGGCAACTACAAGGCCATCAAACCATCCATCTGCTCTCGGGCTAATATTACCACATTAAGGTTGTACCGGTCAGAGCCCCTCTGGGACTGTATGTGAAATGAGGTGAAAATAATCAATTCAAATACCTGGACAGAGGTGTAAGAAGTAAATACATCTCGAAAGGTTTGAAGTAAACTTTGGTTAGGTGAAGTATTATTACTTTATGTCATTCTGATCTGGTTCCATCCCGGTTCAACCAAGTGAAACTCAAGTTAACAGGATACTCATTTATTTACATGGACCGCTGCAATATAGTGATGTAAATGATGTTATAAAGTATTGTGTAGCAGTGCTGGTGTTGTTTTTATTGCAGAATTTGTTGACTAAGAAAAAATAAAGAATATCCCCTGCATTATCCTTAAAGCAAATCTCATTATCCCCACACTAATGTGTTGTCCACTAAAGAGTTTTGTCTCTTTCTCTCTGCCCTCTCTCCATTCATCTCTCTGTCCTCGGCTGCAGAGGAGATCGAGGTGGACGTGGAAAGCACGGAGTTCTCCCATGGAGAGCTGGACAGTGTGAGCACAGCCAGCACCAGCGACCTGGACGACCACAGCAGCTTGCAGAGCATGGCCAGCGACGAGGGCTACTCCTCCTGTAGTGTCAAACTTGCCTTCTCCTCCTAGAGCCCCGCACCACTACGGCCACCACCACCTGCCCGCCAAACCCGCCTGCCCTCCCGTTCGTTTGTCCATCCAGCCATGCCTATGTACACACACCCAGTCACCTCAGACGACGGTCACGCCCCCCAGCTAATGGCGTCCCCGTCGTTCCTGCCTCTCAGCAGCTCCAGCTCCTTTAGTTGCCCCCCCCACCTCCATCCTGCGCTGCTGTTTGAGGAGCTCCACTGAGAGCTTTTCCTCACTCCTGAACTTTGAGCCGCCCCGACCAACACCGATACCAGGGACCCAAACACAGACGTGAAACTGCCAACTGATTTTAATTTTCTTTCAGTGGGAGATCAGAGACTTGATTGATTTAAAATTGTTCAACATCTTCAATTTTAAACCCACACAATTGAAATGAACGAAGTGTCTGAATTTTTTTAAAGAAACACAACCCCTGATTTGATCCAAAATGCACTTAAATTCGTAGGATATTGAAAAAATTCAGAGTTTCTGTTTGGTTCTCTCTCCTGTGGTGTGTGTGTGTGTGTGTGTACATACGTGTGTGTGTGTTGAGCTTGTCCTGTGTATCCCTTCTTAACGTTCTGGTGTTGGGCCTGGATAAACGGGAGCACATCTAATCTGGACTGTCATCAAGACTGTGGGTGAACTTTGCCATATCAACACAGCTTGAGCGTGACTAACGTCCCATCATCCCTGCATTTAACCCCCGTCTTATTGTTTATTTTCATATCCTCTGCTCGACACCACAGAAGCTCGGACACTCAAACTGGTGCTATTGTGAAACAAACCAACGGGGAAGCAGATCAGATCCACCACCGCGAAGCTTGTAAAGCAAAACAAAGTGTGTCTACAGTGATTGTTTCCAACCAAGCACCGAGGAAAACAACCAAAAAAAAAAAAAGAAAAAAAAATGGAGGGAAAAACAACAACATTCCTGTCGAATGTGGGTGCTCAGTGCATTTTCAAAGAGTGGAAATTGTAACTTGTGTGTGTGTTTTCTGTTTTGGTTTCTCTCCCCTCGACAAGCAGCTACAAAAAGCTATCCTGCACTTGCCTACTTTAGAGCTGTCCATAGAAACGGCACAAACCAAGAGGTAAAAAAAAAAAAAAAATACAATAAAAAAAAAATCAACAACAGCAACAAGGAAAAAGTTCAAAGGACAACAAACTTTGGAATAGATGTCCATCCTGTCTCCAGCAGTAACAAGCAATAACTCTTGTAGTCCTTTTTGTCTCGTCAGTTTGAACTCCTTCCCGTTTATTTTTTCTCTCTTCTCCCCTAAAGACTGTGTGACCGTCCAAAAAGCAAATTTCTTTTCTTATTTTGTACATACAAATAGCTTAATGAATTAAACTTTAAAAAGGAGTTTAAAAAAAAGTTAGAGCTCATGGATAGAACTATTGCCTCTGTTGCTGTTTGACCTGTGTTTATTGTGCATTTTAAATTACATTTTTGGAACGATTTTATCCTCTTCAGAGTTGGCAGTGGATGTGGCATGGACACTATCACTTTGTTCGGTTTGCTGGTGGAAACTTTTAAAAGTTACTCATTCTGTTGCTGCGCTGACAGAGAAGAAAAGTTACTTTTCAAAGCGATTATAAGAAAAAAACAGAACAACTTCCCAGTTGCAGAAAAGAAAAGCGGACCCATTATGACTTCTGTGGGAGAACGCTGAGTTTGTGTGGCACTCTTTTATTTATTTTTTTTCTCTTGTTTATAATGTTCATGAATTCGGGGGGGGGGGGGGAATAAGCTCTATGTGGCATTCCACTGGTGGTCAGGTGATCTGTGGAGGGAAAGCCTGAAGTGTGGGAAGGAGAAAACGGGTTGTATGATGTCAATGTTCGCCATCCCAACTCCACTGGCATTAAGAATTGCACTTCAACCACTGTTTTTATTTTTTCTTTTCCACTATCATTTTCTCTCATGGAGCTTACATGGAACCTTTTGTATGTGAAAGAAAATAACAACAACCTCCCTTTTAAGATATTTATTTCTCAATCCCTCAAAGAACACAAGCAAACGGGGAAAAAGAAGTTAACTTATTTTGGTTCTGTCTTATTTTACTCCTCTTTTTGATGCTTATTCCTCATTCCTTATTTTAAGAATTGTATATTTTATGGCTTTTTTTTTTTTTGGGGTGGGGAGGGTGGGAGGGGTAAAGAAATGTAGCCATTTTGTTTCTTTTTTTCTGATGTTTAACTCAATGGACACTTGAAATGTAATTGGCCCCTAAGCTGCTCCTAGTGCTGAGCCTCGCCTGTTTAGAGTCACCAGCCTTGTCCGGAGCCGACCCCCCTGACAACAGCCTGTGAGGATAAATGCAGATCTAAAACAATAAGACAGACAAAATGGCTTCCCTCCATAACCAGCCTTCAAGGTGAAATATTCGCCATCTTGTTGATAAGTTCTCCTGTCTGGGTTGTTTTTGGGTCTGTGCTGACGGAGGGGGGTCATCTCTGCACAAGGTTTATCGATAGCCAAGACTTTACTGGCAGATATTGAGCCAGCTACTACACAATAACGGGGGTCTAAAACTCCACTTTCCTCTATTAAGAGGATTGTAGTCTCTATTAGACTTGTGTTTTAGTTGACAAAATGTGTCTTACATTTACAATTCAATGCCTCCGACTGAGGATTTAAAGAAAAAAAAACTCGACATAAAAGAACAAATCCTTTGGGTTCTCTGAAGGACATCATTAAGGTGTAGAGTTTGACATGTAAGCTCTCAGCGGAGCTACGTTGAGGTTGTTGGACTTGGCACTGAATCAGAAAGTCACCACTTCTGGTGCTTGATTATTTAAAAAAAAAAAAATGCCAAAACCACCTCAGAACACCTCAGTGTCCTCTCTCTTCATCTCTCTCTCTCTGAGGGACAGTTTACATTTATTCTTCCCCTGTTTAAGTTATTAACCTTCAACTCTTTTTTGTTTTGTTTTCGTCTTCATATGTTGGTTTTATGAACCTGCACTGCTGACAGGAAAGAAAAAAGAGGTCCCATGTTTGACAGTAATTGAATTCCACTCCTCGTGCGGACCTGGATCACATCCTAATGTTTTCCCCTGCTCGGAGTACAGTATATGTTTTACTGCATTGGGGCAACTCTGATAGTGTTGGGTTTTGTTGTTTATCACTGAAATGTGTGAAAACTGTCTGGCACTCATTGTGTTGTCTCATGTGGCAAACTGCTCTGATCTTGTATTCCCAGACGGGATAAAACAAACTATAAGAACTGATTTCACTGAAGCCAGGTCTGTCCTCTCTCATGTGTGTGAGAGCATGTGAGTGTGTGCGTGTGTGTGTGTGTGTGTGTGTGTGTGTGTGTGTGTGTGTGTGTGTGTGCTACACGTCTTACCAAGGCTGAGCTTTAGAGAGGCACCTGGTTCATGACTAGTCTGCACTGATCTCAGTTGGGCTGGTTCCCATCTACTTCTCAGTAAATATCGCACGTCTGTGTATTCGTCATAAGAATGGCGAATATGTCCAGCGTCAGATAACGGGGAGTGAAGGTTCTGTCACATAATTTGCAGCTATTATTTTGCACTGAAAGTAAACTGAGCTCGACTGTCAACTCAGTGCAGACTGGTCCTGGATCAGCCCAGGTTAGTTGGGATGTCTGACAAAGAGTTTCTGGCTATGCTGCAGATTCAAAACAATAGCATATCTTCATAAGCTGGTGATCACAAAGCTATATTTTTACCTCTGTGTTTAAAGGTTTAGACATGCGGTCCTGACTGTGGTTCAGGTTCACTTTCCAGGAGCGTTGAGTTCCAGTTTTGCAGCTTATCGGCCAGAAGTGTACCGACCAGCCACGACAAAGTGGAAGTTACAGTGTCTTTTGTAAACCACACTCCATTCTGGCGTCTGGCTTTTGAGCAAACGGGTCCATGGGGTCAAGTCAGCCCAACCAAACGAGCAGTCCCACGTGGGGAGTCCTCCTGTTGTTCTGAACCTGTGGCCATCCTTTGTAAAACATGCAGTCTGATGATGATTCTAGCCGTGTAAGTTGAAGATGCAATACTTACAATAAAAACACCAAGATTTTCAAACCTGAATGACTCAGCTGGCCTCTTTGTACCAGGCAGTATTTTAATGCTGAATGTGTTGTTTTTATCTTATTTAATTTCCTGTACTCTGCAAGAATCCCTCTGTCAAAAACTTAATATATGTTAAAAAAAAGGTGTTTTCTAGCTCAGGCTAGCTCGATATTAGATTTCACAGCATGGTTAACGTGGCAGAAAGAACCCATGATGACGATATTATCACAATTTCTACAGAAAATTTAAGAAAAAATAATCAAATTCATCTCTAACTTTGTTAATTGTACTTTTTGTCTCTTTTTGACAAATGTTTCACACTCGAAATATGAGTGTAGCGAGCCTGTCACCAAACTGCATAAAAAGTACAAAAAGAACAGTTACACTTAATGGATAGTGAAAAGGCAGCCAGATGGTGTTGAGGGAGGGAGACACAGCGAGAACAGACAGAAACAGAAATGATTTAAGAGGTGCTGGAATATTTACACAATATAATCATATGTGTATTATTAACATGGTTTTAATATGTCATGCTCAAATAGTTTAAATAGTTATTATCAATAGCAAGATATCGCCACACCCGTATTCCTAACATTGAGGCTGGGACCTCTTTAGTGGGTCGTAAGATGATGATGGGAAAGAAACAAATATTTTCTACTCAAAATAAATGTTTTTCAGAGTTTTCTTGGATCATTACATTTACACTGGATAATTTTACCTTCTCATGTTTGATATTATTACTAAAACTAAGCAACACAAGAAGCAAAAATGACTGGTTGAACTGTTCACAGCTTATGGACAAATGCAGCCTGTGCAGAGCAGTCACAGTTTGATACTGCTGCATTTTAGTGGGTCACAAACCACAGGAGCTACTGTCATAGAACATGTACTACTGATAAGATATACAAACTCTCACAATGTTTGTCTCATAATGATCTAAATTTTAGCATGAAATTTAATTCTTGGCCTTGGAAATATTCCTAAATTAAAGTCCTCTTGCTTTATTTTTGCTTTCAACCAAATGTCACAGTCAACATCGGAAAATGGAGATTGCCAATTTGATAAAATAAAGACAACAGAAGAGTTGGACAACTGAGCAAATTCCACCTGTTGATAAAGATGGAAAGACGCAATTGAACACCCGAGAAAAAAATCTAGTAAGTGGCCATTGAATAAAAAAGTTTTTTTGTCAAAGATCTCAGTCCTGTTTTTAAAGATTTATTTCCCACCCTGGAAAGCACAAAATGCACTAGTGAAATATACATATCTCTTAGATAAATAATAACTAATGCTATTTATAGAGTGCTTTTCATGATACTCAAAGACACTTTATATTAGTTAGAAATTAACACTAAATAAAATAAAATAAAATAAACTTTTTGTTTACATCATCCTAAAAAATATCTCTAATAAAGTAAGGTCAGGAACCGTCAAATGGTCCATGTCATGTTGGTATATGACATAACATTTAGTGTGAAATGATTAATATTAGCAGCATTTTTTCAATAACAGCAACAAGAACAGCAGTAATGTCATCTTAAAAAGCTTTAAAGTCAAAGTTCACTTGTCCCTTGCAGCTGTCATTACATTACGTATTAATAAAACATCTTATTGGAAGGTGGACAGCCACTGCTCTGTTTTCAGATGTCACGAGTCAAAATAGTGTTTGAGTACCTCCAGCAGACCGCACGTGCCACGAATCTGTTGAAGATCACATGATGTCTGTGTGATCAAAGCAGTCTTGTGGGGAGACTTACAGATTTTCTTTCTCTTTAACAGACCACATGAGCATCCACCACATGTAATATTCCTCTCAAGCGATCACAGCTCGTGAAAAACAGTTAAGAGGCTCGACCTCCCAAGTTGTACAAAACCACAGCGTGACACCACGGTGAGAGACGCAGTGATAATTAAGACGTTGTTGCCTCAGTGTCATAAAGAACTCACCGTCACTACAAATAATCTGGTTTGGATTAAAGCGCCACGTCGACTGTGGCTGATTTATCAGCACTGACGAACAGATTGTCCATCTGTGGTGCTAATTATGTCTGAAAAGTTAAAAAAAAATTAAACATGTCACATCTCAAGCTGGAAACAAGGGTGTGTTGAAATGGACACATTGTTTTAGGGTGTGTAAAAAGTCAAAATAGAATTTCATGTCTCATTAGAGAAAGTGGCAAAATATATTCCCTTAAATGTTCACACTCATTTTTAAGAAATAAATTTAATTCTGAATATATATGCAGTATCTTTATCAATAAATCACATTGTGGTCTCACAGTTAAACTCAAAGCAAAGGCTGATGAAGTATTTCATAGCACTTGCAGCACTATAATGTCTCACATATGTGTGTGTGTGGTTTGGGGAGTTTACATTACACTCACCATTTTAAATTTGAATTCAAATATATAGAGAAAAATTATACAATAAACTCATTTTTCTGTCCTGTTTCTGACCTTTCTCTCCTCTTGAAAGCTGTTAAACTTTCATTCTCTGAGGGAACATTACGAAAAAGACATGTTGTTGCTTGTGTAGTGAATATGGGAGGCAGAGACAACAGGCTGCATCCAGGCTGGGTTATTAGGGTCATGGTCAGAGAGATGCTGCCACCTAGAGGACAAAAACAGTCAGTGGTTCCTGGTGACATGATATACTATCTGCATGTACAGTGAATGATAAAAATAAAACCATATTTAAGAAAGAAATAATTTGTATTGAATGCATCCAGCATATAGGACCATTCAGCTGCTGCATTTACAATTTTCCAATATTATTGCAAAGCACACTGAACAAAAATTTTAATGCAATACTTTTTGTTTTTGCTCCCATTTTTCATGGGTTTAAGTTAAAGATCTGAGACTTTTTATGTGCTCAACAAACCTATATATTTCTCTCAAATTCTGATCATAAATTTGTAAAAATCGTGTTGCTGATTAAACAGTATCATTACTACAAAAGTGTGCCTTTGGAGAGTTACAGTAAACAACACAATGCCACAGATGTCACAAGTTTTGTGGGAGCGTGCCTTTGGCTAGCTGACTGCAGGACCATCCACCAGAGCTGTTGCCAGTGAACTGAGTGTTCATTTCACTTCCACAAACCATCTCCAATGCCATCTCTGTGAATTTGGCAGTACATCCAATCATCCTCACAACTCCAGACCACGTGTAACTGCACCAGCTCAGGATCTCCACATCCAGCATCTTCACCTGCAACATTGTCTGAGACCAGCCACCCGAGCAGCTACTGCAGCAACTGGTTTGCACAGCCAGGAAATTCTGCACAAACCATCAGAAATCGTCTCAGTGAAGCTCATCTGCATGCTCGTCATCCTCACTGGGGCCTTGACCTGACAGCAGTACATTATTGTAACCAACTCGAGTGGGACACCTTCGATGGTGTGTGGCACTTAAGAGAGGTGTTCTCTTCACAGAGGAATCCTGGTTTAGGTTTTACCAGGCAGATGGCAGATGGCGTGTCTGGTGCTGTGTGGTCAAGTGGTTTGCTAATACTAATGTAACGTTGTGAATAGAGTGCCCCATAGCAGTGGGGTTATGCTATGGGCAGACATAAGCTACGGGCAACAAACTGTTTGCAGAGAGGTACCATGATGAGATCCTGAGACCCACTGTCATACCATTCATCCACCGCCATCATCTCATGTTGCAGCATGATAATGCATGGCTCCATGTTGCAGGGATCTGTACACAATTCCTGGAAACTGAAAACAGTTCTTGCACGGCCTGCATATTCACCAGTCATGCCACCCACTGAGCATGTTTTGGATGCTCTGGATCGGCATGTACGACAGCATGTTCCAGTTGCTGCCAATATCCAGGAACTTCACACAATCATTGAGGAGGAGTGCACCAACATTCCTCAGGCCGCAATCAACAATGCTGTTTAATCAGCATCTCAATATGCCACACATGTCAGATGATGATCGTGAAAAAGGAGAAGTGCTCACTAACATGGATTTTTAACAATTTTATGACCAATTTGAGAGGAATTTATCTATTAAGTGCATATAAAGTCTTAGATCTTCAACTTAAAGCTTTGAAAATGGGAGCAAAAACCAAACTGTTGCATTTAAGTTTTTGTTCAACATATCTCTGTATAAGGGTAACTTCACTATTCCAGACCATATTACTGTTACAAGGCGCAGCACGAACCACTGGGAGGCACAAGAGACCTGGAAATGATCAATAACAATTTGTTATGTCACCACTAATGGACTGTGTTTCTTTTATATCAACACACTGACAGAAATCTGCCGAGCCTGTCTGTGTGTGACGGCGCTGCATTGATCTATTGTGTCAATGATTTTTCTATTCACATTAATTCCACCGAGCCTGCCGGGTGGTCCCAAAGATTTCCACTCAATCAACCTTTATAAAAATATTTTGGAGAGACCAACGTCTGTGTTTCACTGAATTTTTTGTTATCTTTCAGCACAAGCTGGGAATCTGCAAAGTTTTTTACCCATGTGCAGCTAAAATCATTTCTCAGGGGAAAGTTTTGCTGCTCACAACGGTCTTTTCTTGTCTCATCAGAAATAAATCAGCTTCTTTCTCAAAGATGACTAAGTTGTGATCTGTTTCTCTGATCTATTTCTGCTCTTTGGCTTCTCAGAGTTTTCTCAATTTTACCCACAGATAAAATATGTAGAGTTGATATTTGAATTTGATCACTGAGACAAATTTGTGAAATTGTGAATTTATGCTTTAATGCATTTATCAGCCAATCAAGTTTTCTTTTGGACCTAACTGTTATCTCAAGAGCTGACTATTTCAGACCAATACAGATTACTGCAGTGAGAGAGGGGAAAAAGCATTTTAAGATCTTAAAATTAAGATCAGAAAATCTCATACTGATGTTATATTGAGCTCTGCTATGCCAAAGAGAAATAGGCTGGACAAAGAAAAGACTTTATTTTGAATTTTTCTTTCCTCTGGGTTTTCCAGCCTCAGTGTTGAACAGAGGATTGAATCTGGCATCAGATTTGGGTCGATTTCACA